AAATTACAGCTGATCTCGCTAAGACTCGAATCTAATGAGATCGATCGCAATTTTTTTTGGTCGTTCCCAGAAAGGAAACATTCGAGGAGCGGTGCTCTGCCATGAGCGTAGGCTAGATGGGAACTTGTAATGATATCCTGGGAGCCATTTATTACCTCCCCGACCACAACCGCGCGGTGGAATGCGAGGAAAACACCGCACGGCAAAGGCCGACACTGACGTGCTTCCATCACTGATCGGATCATTACGAGGTTCTCACAGCTCCCATTCACCGAGTTTGACGTTTTCCAGGGATGTGCAACACTTACAGATGTATTCTGGTCCCAGGGAACGTCCAGAGGCAGCTGGACTTGCCGAAGAATGAAAATTTTCCTTTTTGGGAAGGAGCAAAAAAAAACCGATCAATCTTGGATCAATCTCATTAGTTTGGAGATCAGCTGTAATGAGACCGATCAGTTTTTTTTTGCTCGTTCCCGAAAAGGAGATTCCAGCGAAACAAGAGTCTACCTTACCTCCAAGAGTACCTGCAATGAAATTTGATGTTACAGTGACCAGTTGTGGGCTCCCTGAACAAGAGCGCCCCACGAAATGGGAGGAAATCATGCGGAAACGGCAAAGTCGGGAAAGCCCGGATGATCACGTGTTTCATTGATCGCGTGTATTATTTCGACCATTGGCACGCACTCAAGCTTCTCTATGTTGTTTTGAGGGACTGACAACCTAGAGGGAGGCAGGGCACTCAATCGCATGTAATTATTGGATGGATTAGACGTGGGCAAGCAAACATTCCTTTTTGGGAACGCGAAAAAAAAAAGTCGGTGCCGTCTCATTAATTTCGAGATCAGCTGTAAGCTGTGAGCCGAGACGGCGCGCCAAAACAAACCAGAACCATGGCACAGACAGGAAGAGCCCGCGCCTCCTCCGCCTGGAACGTAGCCCGCCGCTGCCCAGCAAAGGGGATGCAATAAAGCGCCGAAACGAGAGGGTTAGCGCCCCCGCGCGGGCGGAAGCGACCCAGCCGCCCCCCGGGATCCCCGGGATCCCCGTTCTACGCGGAATGCAGTATCCGGAGCGCAGATAGTAGGCAGAACTGCACGCACCCACCTTCCGCACCCGATGCCCGCGGAAGAAAGAAGGGGAAGACAGCAAAGCATTGCGGGCAAAGCGAACACACCGGCGGAGAGTACGCTTACTCGCCCAGCGCGCTTGCTCCCCACGGCGCAGACGAGCGAGCTCTCTCGCTGACTGTTATCCCATAACCCACGCATTCCCCGCACGGGGTCAGCATCACGTCCTCATTGAGCACGCGAAGGGGAGGAGGCGCCAACGACACGGTCTGCACGTCGGACACGATGGCATACCGCGCGATGGATGGAAGTAGCACACCAGACCACACCCCAGACCGCACAGACACCCGCAGACGAGAAAGGTGGAGGAGAGGGAGGGGACGGAGACAAAGAAAGGTAGAGAGAGCATCGAATCGGATCGACTGGTTCGAAGACTGAATCGATTGCGCGAGTGGCTTGCACCACTCGCCACCACAAAGGAAAGAGCAAGGTATACAGGAATAGGCACAAGAAAAGCCCGCGGACGGGGCAGGACAAGACAGCGAGCGCAGGTGCCCAGAGTTATGCCTGTGCCCGGAGGTGCTCGGACTGCGTCCCCACGCCGCATACTCCACCCCCTGCGCCGCGGCAAGTGGAACACGCGGCGGCAAGAAAGGCGCACAGGCACGCGCCTCCCACGGATGGAGAGATCGCCCAGTCCCCCTGTGCTTGCGCCTCGATATGGCGCACCCGTAAGCGTACACACATCTCCTACGCATCGAACAGCACGCCCCCGTCGCCGACCGAGAAAAGCGCTCGCGCCCCCGTCGCCGACCAGCGTACCCACACAGGGCGGGCCGCGCCAGCACGATACCCCAGAGCGGTAAGGTGTTGGGAGGGATAGGGGAGGAATGGGAAGGAGGGGAGGTAACACAAACGAACAAACGAAAGAAGGAATGGAGGGAGGAGTGTAGCAAAGGAAAGAAAGAAGGGAGGAAGGAAGTAGGGACAGCGCGCAAGTGGAAAGTGAGGAAGAAAAAAAAGAAAAGGAGGCAACACGACTATCAGCATCGTCGTCCTCGGCGTCGTGGGCCTTAGGAGAACGACTAGGGTCGGGCTTGGACTCGGGGGGTGCTACTGCGCGAGCTCCGTGTAGGCACCGCAGTCGACGTCCAAGACGAGCATCAGGGACTGCGGTGTCGACCCCACTCCCCTCCCTCTCTGCTATCACCCGCTCGCACGCCGCTCTATCCCTCTCTGTCTACCATCAGCGCCACGGTCCGTCCCCGCGCCCCGCCCCTGCCCGTGAATAACTCCGCGTGTCCCTCCCTTCCCGTTGTCTCGCTGACTCTCCTCCCCATGCGGATGCGGATGTGGATCGTGTGTGCGCGGCCTCCAGCCACAATAGCCAGCGTATCGCCGCCGCACGTGTTTCGAGGATGAGAGGAGGAGGAGAAGGAGGAAGAGGCGATTTCCCGGAGAAGGGAGGGGTAGGATTTTGCATGAGTGTATCCGAGCTCTCTATCTCATTCCGTTGGGGACGTGGCCACGTCCGACACCCTCGCGGGGACGAGGAGAGGATGCGCGCGCGCCAGCCCAAGGAGGTTCCCACCCCTAGCGGCGGGCCGCGCTTCCGAGTCATGTGCGGGCTCACAGCCACCACATTGACAGCATCAAATCCAAACCAAAGATGTTGCGGCCCATCTCTGTGGACTCAACTGTGACTAAGAAGGCCTTTCAGGTACACATTACATCCATACCACCCCTTACACAAGTAGATTATATTTTTGGAGCTCCAAACATTCAATTTCAACATTGACTGAGGGTCTCCGGAGTGCCGCTTTGACCACATCTCTGGCCCACTCACACAGATGTTAAATGGTATATGAATATTTTCTCACATATATATTGTGAGCATGTTTTTAGCTGCTAACCACCCTTAGAGGGAAACCGGGACACAATGTTCGCGCCAATTGATGGTGTGTAAGCACGACCCGCTATCCAAATCGGGATACCCACACCATATTTGAGTTCTGACACCCAGAATTCATCTTCCTGGCATCCTGTGGTGCTCCAAGAGGTATATATTGCAGATTTAGAACTCCCTCATACTACATGATAAAAGTTTTTTTCAGCCCTCCGCGGGACCCCCCCCCCCCCCCCCCTATATCCGAAATTTTAATCCCGAAACCCCCTTGGGACTCACAATGGGGGCCGTCGTTCTCGGGCCTGCATCAACTAAGTCCACTGCATACGAGGCAAGCGAGGTATAGTCGTAGTCGCGTTGTTTGAGTCGCCGTCGTCAACCCTTAGCAGTGCGCTTCAGTTGGCCCTCACGGTAGCACATCGCCAGTATGCATCGTCCAGGTGGCTTATTTCGGGCACCGGGAATGGATCTGCAGACTGCAGTCTGATTCTGCACCGGAAAACATCCTGCAAACGAGGGGAAAGCGCGAGCCAAGTCTGGTCGGGTCCGAGAGACCAAGCACATCTGAATCTGCGCTATTGCATCTGTAGTATCTTGCGGGGGTGATATGGATGAAAAGTCTCGTATGGATTCGAGCGCAGTGAGGAGCAGGAAACAATGGGAAGAAGCGAGGACGACAAGACAGTGGCTGTGCCTCTGCGACACTGCCACTTGTTCGCAGAACTTTTCTTTCTTTCTGGTTGCCACCTTCGCGCACATGAGGCCATACTCCCAACGATTTACATTTCAACGTTTCCATTTACGCCGTGGGCCACACCTCGGTGTCTAGATGTGCTTCGTGTCCGAGACTCCGAACGAACCGGAACGTACTAGTGACTCAGACAGTCTGGACCTCAGGCTGTTTCTTGCGGATAGAGGGCGCCCTCGCCAGCCGTCATCTGATCTCTCACTAGTCAACTACCCGACAGTTCCGCCCGCCCGATCTCGAGAACGTCGTCACTTATTCAAGAGCAACCAGTTGCGCGCGGCGAATTCCGCGGCTCCGACTCCCAATTCCGAGTCTGGCAAATGTGGAAACCCCAGGGAGACGCCTTGGAACTTTGCGTTGCGAGGGCCAAGTGCCATGGCTTCCGAGTCGAGTACTTCAAGTGGACCCTCAACCACCGCTCGGAGCTCTCTATCTAACCCCGCCTTTGCGAACATCAACCAACCGTCCGAGGATTACTTGAATTCGACGTGCGAACCATCCGTGAAGCCCCGCTCCGCTCCACATCTGGTGCTTATCTCCCCGGTTCGCTGTCGTGCTCCAGAGCTCAAGGCTCTAACGCTCTATACTCAGAACTGCGCGCTATCTCTGGCCGATTCAAGTATTCCGAGTGAAGTATTCGACTGCATGCTGTCTCTCTGTCCTGATTCAAGATTCAACCTGCCAGATATGCAACTCATCATCCCCGGAGCGCCGCAACTTATTCGCGCTCAATCTCAATTCGCGCCACCTATCTTCTTCTCGCGACTTTGGAAATTCCGATTTGTAATCGTGCACCCAAATCCTATCCTTATCATCCCCGGAGCGCCGCAACTCATTCGCGCTCAATCTCACTCCGCGTCACCTGTCTTCTCGCGACTTCAGAAATTCCAATCTGCAATCGCGCACCCAAATCCTACCCACCTCCATTTCTGCTCAGTCTCCATCTCCCCATACTCCCTCTATCGCTCCTCGATTCCTCTACTCTACGATTTTCATACTCGCATGTACTGATCTCAGCCGTAGATATTCTTCCGTCCGTACTTAGTCATGTCGATTGACATTGATCGAATGTGCTGACCCAACGCACCCACATTTTGGGAAAGAATAAGAGCGGCCTGGTGGTGTAGTGGTCACACATCTGTTTGCAGTGGAGGCTCCATCCAGACGATTTTGGCAGAAGCCCTTGTTCGACTCAAGGCCAGGCCATAAATTGTGTACAAACCAAGTTTTTTCTGTCGTACGCTGCTCAAATTTGTGCATGTGATTACCATTTAAGAATGGCCTGGTGGTGTGGTGGTGTGGTGGTGCTTTCTATAGATATGTGATTTCCTCTTTCGTAGGAGTCCCTTGTTCGATTCAAGGCCAGGCCATTCCATGGTTATCCTACTTTTTCAGCTCCCTCCAAACCTCTATTCTTTCATTTGTATCTAATTTTTCCCATCTGCCATGCCCGGACGCATTTGATTTCAATGTTTCGACTTGTGGTTGATTTTTGAAGTTCCGGGGCTCGCCGTGGATTCCTTACTCTGAGAGGGAGCGCCTAGCCGTCTTTCATTCAGTACACGATGCCTAAGGCCGCCTAACGAGACACACCACCCCTTCTGCCCTCGCCGTATATTATCTCGACTCAGTAGATCCGTAACTGAATTGCGAGTGACTTGATTGGAACGAGTACCAGCCGACGCGTCCCGCATCATTGGAGCTCGAGGCTGAAATTACGCAGCTGCCCAACGTCTCGCTGTGTTCCTGTTGGCTGAGTTGAACCACGGCTACCCAGCCAAGGCTCGGATAAATATTGATATCCTTAGTGCGCACGCAAGCTCGCGGCATATCTCCGTCTGGTTATCTACATGATGTTGTGCTCTCCGACGTTAAATATGATCCGTGTATTCTCACTGGGACTGCTAGCCCATGGACTCTCCATCGATTCCGAGCTGGAAAAATCCGATGTGCATTGAACTCGTGCGTTCGTCCTCACCTTGTCTTTATTAAATTATTTCATAATCCATCCGAGCGTCGATCTAATCATGACTGTGCCATCCTCAGGTGTGCCTACGCAAAACCGTTAAATTATGAACGACGCACTTAGAGTACATTCAACTCGGATGAATATCAAATAAATGCCCAATTGAACCCGGAGCCCTGAAATTCTGATTTTACCTGCGGCTGTATACAGTGAAAATCCGCCGTGTAGGAGCAGATGAGAATGTCCTGGTGGTGTATTGGTAGCACGTCTCAAACTGCATGTGGACTGTAAAATTTTCATCAGGAGTTCCTTGTTCAACTCGAGGTCGGCCGTTCGATGGTTGTGTTATTTTTTTGAATCGAGGCACACAAAGTCCATCATGTAACGTTAACATACTTCCTCTTATTGTTGAAGTGTGTCAGATCCTAGGAGGAATTCCTTGTTCAACTCAAGGCCATCCTTTCTCATTCATGTTGTTTTTATTTTTGGTCTTCTGCGGAAACTTGTACGCATCCTCAATTTGTGCGAGGGTATAGGAAAGGCCTGGTGATGTGATGAGAACACACCCACTTCAATTTGTGAGGTTTCGTAATTTCTGTGGGAGCTCCTTCTCCAACTCAAAGTCAGGCCAATCCATGCTTTCTCATCCATGCTTTCTCTTTCTCATTCTCCTGCGGAAACTGATACATACAGGTCGCGGCAGCGGATATGGATGGTCTGTTGGTGTAATGGGAGCACGCTCACATCCTTTGATCAAGTGGTGTGCTTTCTGTAGGAGCTCCTTGTCCGATTCAAGGCCAGGCTGTCCTCTTTTCGTCCATCTTTTTTTTAGTCGTTTAACTGCGCCGGAAACTCATGCATATATTGACTATATGGGAGGAAATGGTCACCGCCTGGTGGTGTACCGGTAACACACTTCCTCTTTTTAGCCGCTCAGGAGGAATACATTGTTTGACTCAAGGCCAGGCCATTCAGCTTTTCCTTGCTTTTTCTTTCCTCATCCTACTTTTAATATCAGCCAGCGTCCACATCTCGTTCTACCTTCATTACACTCAAGTTGAAGGAGCTCAGATTTTCGACTTGAACTTTCGGTCGGACGAACTTGCTTTTCCACAACTCCTCCCCCTTCAGGATTCGTTTCCTGCGACGACCAAGCTCTGCATCTAGCATTTTGATTACCCATAGGCTACGCAAACGCTGAATCACACAATACGGATGGATGTAATACAAAGAGAACCGTGACGTCCGAGCCTCGCAGACTCAGCGAGCCTCCCGAGAAAACACTGCACCCTCTGCACTGACTACTCTCAAATCTGTTGCTGTCTTCTCTCTCGTTCCCGCTCTCTCCGTGAGGCTCAAGTGTGCCGTTTATTTCCATCCATTACCATCCCCAAGCGAAGGACCCGCTACTTGGAATGGGAGAAACTCTGGAGTATCAGGCCTCTCTCTCTCAGACTTTAACCTGCGTCCGCGCGATACAATTTAAATCCGAATTACCGATACGAGTCCGCGCGATTTTATGTCTCCGACTCGGATTTATCCGCGCTCATACGCGTCGTATTTCATGCGACTATCGGCCCCCCGCCCTGTTGAAAGTGCAACAAATCTAGCTCAATCAGCTTAGATCCTAAAACTTGAAATAATCGCACTTTATGCGGTGCGTGCGTTGTGTGATTTTCGCGCCGCCCGGGCCCTCACTGTTCTATCTGGATCTTTCAATCCGCACCCGCAAGCCACAAGCGCCTCTTGTGGATGCAGGCGACGCAGTGGCTCTCATATACCTCGGAACCATGGGTCCTAATGGATTGTTTGAGGCGCCCCACGCGTGGTGTTCTCTGGATAGTTCAATCTATGTCCTGAGCTTCAACCACCAAGGTCCACTCGAACGAATAGAGTCATATGAAAGCCTCAGACTTGAATCCCGAGTCCCTGGCAGCGCCTCAGGAAGCCCTACTAGTAATAATACCATAACTCCAGGTCAGTTGAAGATGTGAGTGGTAGAAGACTTGTTGGAGGCGATAATCTGGGGCTCGGGTGTATTGTGTTCACTGGTGACGTGCTCACGGTGGAGCGCACAGTTCACTGGTCGCAACGATGATGGTGGTTCGGAGGAGAAAAGGTGATTGCCTGACCTGTGTACGTACAAAACAAATAGGCGGTCCGAAGACCGATGTGCTGTAAAGTACGTACAGAGGTACAGAATAGGGGCGAGGCGATCTGCGGTCTATCCTCCCCTTCCACACCGATCATTGGGCTCGCCGAGATCCACGCAGTACGCTATTCAGGTCAAGCACACCGAGAATATTCCACGACGCACCCGCACCCCGACAAATTGCCTGCCTCCACTTGGGGGCTCGAATCTCGTATCTGGGATCTCGCGCTGCGCTTCCTCTGCGATATCTGGGCAGGAAGGCTACGCGTTTTTTGCGCGTCAGGGAAGCATGGACTGATCATTGTCTCACCGAGATCCACGTAATGCGCTATTCATGTCAAGCCCACCGAGAATATTCCACGATGCACCCGTACTCCAAAAAACTGCCCGCCTCCACTTGGGGGTTCGGATCTCGTATCTGGGATCTCGCGCTGCGCTTCCTCTGCGCTATCTGGGCAGGAAGGCTACGCGCTTTTTGCGTGTCTCTTCGGAACTCTGGATTTCCCAGCGTTAGAGCTCCAAGGCTCTAACGCTCTATACTCAGAACTGCGCGCTATCTCTGGCCGATTCAAGTATTCCGAGTGAAGTATTCGACTACATGCTGTCTCTCTGTCCTGATTCAAGATTTAACCTGCCAGATATGCAACTCATCATCCCCGGAGCGCCGCAACTTATTCGCGCTCAATCTCAATCCGCGTCACCTATCTTCTTCTCGCGACTTCGGAAATTCCGATCTGCAATCGCGCACCCAAATCCTATCCACATCCATTTCTACTCAGTCTCCGTCTCCCCATGCTCCCTCCATTGCTCCTCGACTCCTCTACTCCACGATTTTCATACTCACATGTACTGATCTCAGCCGTAGATATTCTTCCGTCCGTCCCGTCTTGTAGTCATGTCGATTGACATTGATCCAATGCGCTGACCCAACGACCCACATTTTTGGGAGAGAATAAGAGCGGCCTGGTGGTGTAGTGGTCACACATCTGCTTGCAGTGGAGGCTCCATCCAGACGATTTCGGGAGAAGTCCCTTGTTCGACTCAAGGCCAGGCCATACTTTGTGTATAAGCCGAGTTTTTTCTGTCGTACGCTGCTCAAATTTGTGCATCTGTTTGCCATTCGGGAAAGCTCAGGAATGGCCTGGTGGTGTAGTGGGTACACGCCTGCTTTCTATAGATATGTGAGTTTTTCTTTCGTAGGAGTTCAATTCAAGGCCAGGCCATTCCATCGTTATCTTATTTTTTTGGCTCCCTCCCCGCCTCTAAACTTACTCTTTCATTTTTTCTCATCTGCCACGCCCGGACGCGTTTGATGTCAATATTTCGACTTGTGGTTGATTTTTGAAGTTCCGGGGCTCGACACGTGACGTTCCGGAAACGCCCGGCTCTCTTGCTCTTCGCTTCCACCGTCTGTCTTTTTGCGCCTGGGAGTGAGCAGTGATACGACGACGGTAACAACCCAACTATTTCAGGCGCTCTTTCAACACGCGGCCTCCGTCCACCATTTGCGTCAACAATCTTCTCACGCCGAGGGTTCAAGTTTTCTGACCCCAATTGCAAGGAGACTCAGAGTTGAACAGCTAATCCTAGCATGTCCCAGGACAGCGAGCTTATGCTCCGTTGATGGGCAACTCGGGCTTCCGGGAAATACTTGCTGTCGGCGCTAATTCTCGTACTTTCGCTTGAAAACTATCAAGATGGGACTTCTTGACGTCGCTGAAACCTTCCTGTGCGCCAAAAATTGGGCTCCAAGTGCCATCTTAAATCCGACACTCTGACAAGTAATCTATGTTCCACTTGGATCTGTCACCTCATTGCGGTTTAAATAGAATACAGAACCTCCTGCAGGTATATTTGCCCTCTACTTCCGGCCCTTCGCATGACTGACACAAGAATAGACGAACTTCTTGATCGATTTGCATTTGGTACAGCATTCCTGCTTGCACGAGCAGGTTTTACCTGGCCAGTGTCACCTCAATTAACCCTGCTTGGAGCGGCGTGCACTAAGAAAACCTGCCTTGCCAGCCGGAGGAACTGAAGCTGGGAGTAGTGGTGCCGCACTTGCCGCATGAAGATGTGCTAGGCATATTTATGTCTCTGGAGCGAAGGTGCGGTGAGCTAGATAGTGATAGGAGAAAGACGAGAGTCACCTGGAGATGTATCTGGGTAACTGGAGTGGGGAGTATTGAGCTGGATTTGCTGGGAAAGAATTAGTGCGAGCATCCACAAGGACAGGGAAAACGCAGCCTCAC